TTTGCTTAGCTTTTGGATAGCTCATTGTAAACAGACACTGCACTCTTGACGATGAAACGCCTGTCTCGGGAAGAAGGCAACTGATGCTTTTTTTCAGAACATTGAGCCTTGTCTCACAAAGGTCTTAAGAAATACACAAAGATGCCTGTGCATTAAAATGTCTGCTACCCACCTGTAAAACATGGGTTGCGTGCCGCAGACACTAACGAGAGATTCCACCAACAGTTTTGGGGTTTTCTTTTTGGCATCCACTGGATATCCTACACGCTAGACACTGTGGTCATCGAGAAGGACAATGCAATTAACATCAAAGTGCCGATTCATAGATATCGTTAGATAAGCCATGTCATTCACCTTGAGGAGAGCAGAATTTTTCGGCAAGTTGATCTAAGACACTCAACCAGTTAAATGCGGCAAGGGCTGTTTAAAGAGACTATTGCAGCCTGCCATATGCAAAATCCTGTGCAGGCGTAAAATTATTCCAAGAACATGCAATGAGTTGGGCAAATATTAAGCGTGCAGCATTGAAAGAGAAAATGATTGGTCCAGTAATCAATTTACATGTGGTGAATCTGTAAGAGCATCTTTCTCCAATGCAGGACTCCTTAGCCACAAGAAGTGTCATATTAGTAGATTTTTGACAGATTGCGATCAATAGTCGCAAACGAGACGTCGCCAGTCCCTCGCTGATCTATCGCTATGTCCATAGGAAAATATTCAGAGGAACACTCTCTCACAAGAACACTGTTCAGAGGACATTCTTTAGTTCCAGTAGTCCTAAACTTAAGGGCTAAGACTTGCCATTCCAGTTACATTTCTACGAGATACATTCCCTTCACATCCCATACAAGTTCCATTCGAACAGCCTTTTCAGACCGCTGTCTTGTGGATCCGACTCCCAAGAGGATGATTCCCCAATCACTACAATCTTAACCTGTCCAAGTCTAGGGTTTACCGTTATCTTCTACGCATACTTTCATAAGCTGTGCCTCTTATTGTGTTATCCTCTACCCCCAGTGGTTTTCTGACATTGTACAGGGTGAACATCATTGCAAAATAAAAGTACTAATTTAACATGTCTTGTATATCATTAAATTAAAAGAGAGCGCTACAGTCTCGTCCGTCGCGTGAAAACCCACGAGAAAGCTGAAAAAAGTTTATAAAGCCAGCCAGGTTCTATACAAGATAATTTGCCGTATTTGACGTCATGTAAGGCCCAGTTTTTTTGTTTTTTGTTTTTTTTTACTAAAAATATCTTTTTAAATTCCCGTGTTTTATATGCCATATGTAGGTTTAAAATTCGCGATAGTCGTCCGAATTTAGCTATCTGGCAACTCCTATTAGCTTAGACTTTAGAGTAACTTTTATATGCCTAATATCATTATTTAAATTTCTATTATGCAACTTATGTAACCATTGATAATATTCATTATATCATTTTCATCACGTTTAATATTAGTACTTGATTTCACTATAATTATATATAATAAATTCAAATTATATATTTGTAAAATATATTTGTTTCATTAATATTTTTCTTGCGATAACTTCTGATTACATTGGTATGAATACAATCAGAAGTTTTATATCCTAATTATTCAAATAAGACGTTTACAAGACGCAGGTTGTACAGATCATATAAAGGATATAATAAAGTTATATATATATATATATATATATATATATATATATATATATATATATATATATATATATATATCTAGGCTTTTCTTTTTTTTTTTTTTTCGTTTAATTGTAATCATGGCTTGTTTAACCAAAATAATACCTCATAAATATAGCCCAGGCTGTACCATTTAGTAATAATTTTACTAATTTTAATAATTACTATTTTTTCTGGATTTGTCCTCCTGAAATTAGAGTGCGTCTTATACACCCGTGCGTCTTATACACCCGTGCGTCTTATATGACGTCAAATACGGTAGTTTACTACAACTGTAAGCAATGAAATTCACTTACTGACTTCAAGAGTCAATGTCGTTTTCACTAGAACGAAAACAAACTTGTCAGCGATGGTCTTACTCGTTAAACTAGTCGGCAGCCATAATGTGTGTATGCTTTTAAAAACCATACTCTCGTTCCTTTAAATATTTTCTTTTGTTTATTTTTTCCCTTCTGTGAACATTCCATGTCGTTTTAAATGATTTCCCTTTGTTGTCGGTTCATATTTCCAATCCGTTCTGAAGACACCCGCTCAGTCAACTTGTGGGGTTGTATTGTAACTCTGCAGAGCGGGCCATAGTAACAGTTTCTGGGAGAGATAACGCATAATCTGGCGAGATCCACAGTTTTAGCAATGCCTGTAAGCTCAAACTCTCTGTCACGCTGACTTGTGACTTCGTTCTAGAATGACCAGCAACAGCCTCCGACCAGTACCATCTTCTGAATTTCACTCACACGGTTTAGGTCAGTTGTAGTGTGACAGACTGTTTCGCTATATCACCGCTCATCAGTGTGATAGACGTCCGGTTGCATCTAGCTAGGATCGAAACCCGACTGAGTTGGCGTCAGTCAGGGATTCTACCACTAGCCGTTGGCGCACAAATTTAAGCGTATTTACTTTTAGATAAACACACAGTGACTGAGAAAACTCGATTCGATTTATCGAAGAGTCTTGCATTATTAGCCGTAATAGTATCAGGAATATATATATATATATATATATATATATATATATATATATATCCCATGATTTCCTCATAACCACTCTGATTATGGCTCCTGTGAGCCAAAGCTTGGATCGAGGATCAGCATAAAAAATATTCAAATGTTAGACAATTTTGTCTTTCTTTTCTCCCGAAATTAAAGCAACTATACGAAGCTCAGAACGGCTCATGATCAAACATAATAGACATCCGTTGTCTGTTATATTTAACATTATATATATATATATATATATATATATATATATATATATATATATATATATATGTGTGTGTGTGTGTGTGTGTGTGTGTGTGTGTAAGTGGACATTGAGGTTAACAGCGATCGGCGTCAGTCTGTTTCATGCTTAAACGCAATCTTCAGGTCATGCGTGTTGTATTTTCTCTCGACTATTTATATATGGTCAATGGTGCATTTTGGGTAGATCTATTGTATTATTCTTACGGTTATTTTGGCCGGTGGTAACGGTTATATTTCTTAATATTCTAGAAGCTATTGAGTAGAAATAATTGTGGATCCGAATGCAGTTTTGTTGTTGATTGTTATAATAATAACAACTTTATTATTTGTTGTTGATTTTTATAACAAGGAACAACAACAAATAATAATAAAATAATCAATAAATAATGAGAAAATAGTTAACAAACAACACTATGAAATAGCCAAAAAACTGCATTCGGATCCACAATTATTCCCACTGAATAGACGTTACCTACCATAGCCAATGAAATAACCCCCTTACGCTGGACAAGGCTTTACAATTCTTTTTTTTTTCTTTTTATGTGGCGTGTCCCTTCAGGACGTAGGCGATCATGGCTTTCCACTTCTCCCTATCTCTTGTAGCTCTCAATAAGTTTCGTCCCTCTGCCACATCCCCCAGACTACAGTCTGTCATCCACTTGCTTAAGCCCGCCAAGTATGTCATACATTGCTTTCCTTATCTCCCTTTCCCTCTATTCGACCTATGAGTATCAGATTCTCCAAGCCGTCCTTTCTCATTAGGTGTCCCAGAAATTTAAGCTGCCTCTTCCTGATGTTAAGTATAAGCTTCCTCTTTGTTTGCATCCTCTCCAAAACCTCATCGTTGCTCACACGCTCGATCCATGATATTCTTAGTATCCTTCTGAGAACCATATCTTCATCGCCCCGAGTCTCTTCTTCATTTTTGAGGAGACCGTCCAACATTCGCTGCCGTAAAGGAGGACAGATGCCATGTAGCAGTTCAGTACGCTTTTCTTTGTTACCAAAGAAATCTTCCTGCCTCGCAATACTCTGCCTAGCTTTTGGAATGTGTCCTTGGCCATCCCAATACGTCTTTGGATCTCAGCGTCGCACTTTCCGTCCTCTGTCAAAAAATAATGGTAAATATAATCATGCTGGATATTTATGGCGTAAAATTACACAATTACGGCACAAGGCCGTAAATGGGGGAGGGGTTGAGGCTGGTCTTCACTAAGTATCCTATACCTAGCTAATTCGATTCACGACCCATTCACTCATTACAATTTGCCCATTCACCACAAAAACTCTTCCGTCACCAACCAATCAATCCTCCATACATCAAATAAAGCGCGCCCCATACCATAAAAATATAAGGATTATATATGTGTACTTAAAAATTTATGGATGAATAAAATGAAAGGGGGGGGGGAGATGAACCCAATAAGAAACTAAAATGTTAACACAAAAGAAACTAAACATAACTGATGTTAGTAGAGCCCGTCCAACCCTCAAAATGAGAGGCCACTGTATTCTGCCCATTTCGACAAAATCAAACGGCTCTCTCGCTAAGGGAGTGGAAAAGGAGAAAAAAATATACGGACATGGGAACTATAAAAGTTGACCCAGTCGAGATGAAAAGGGGGCCAAAACAAACTGGGGAGGTTGGGAATCTCAACTTGAATCATAACCAAAGAGGCAACCGGGTACAGGCCAGGAACAACACTTACTCACATTAACTAGGTACACAAATACTTGTCTAACCTAACTAAGGGAAGGGCTCTACAGGAAACCACTTCGATGTTACGTAGGTTGACCTAATAGAGAAAATCAATTCAAACGAACCAAGCTCGCCTCTTTCACCCACCATTCGCTGAAGACTGTCGAATGCAAGCGCTTTCTATCAGTTCTAATCTTCATTTTGAGCTGATGCTCAAAGAATCGGATCAGATCCTGATGAGAATGATGATTGCCTCGCAAGACTTCCTCCATTCGCGTCGTCCATATCACCATTCGGGCCGTGGCCAGCAGCGTCAGAAACACCATCCGTTTCACCCTAGAATGCTGGGGCGACACACTGTCATATGATGACGTCAGCGATGACGTCATTTTTCAGTGATGCCGTCATTTTTTTAATTCTTTCTTTTTTTGCGCATTTTTCTCGTTTATTTTGTCCTATTGTTCAGTTTTCTATTTATTTAGACTTTTCATTTGTCATCATCTCTTCTTTGCCATTTAATTATTGCGCCACAGATGCAGAGCTTCCATTGATGAGTTTGGTATGCATCCTCTCTCCTATCGTCATAGTGCCAGCCGCTTTCCACGACATGCAGCAATAAACGACATCATCAGAAGAGGTTTGGATGCAGCTGGGTTCCCTTCCCAAATCGAACCCGTAGGCCTCGACCGTGGTGATGGAAAGCAGCCGGATGGTATTACCTCTTTCCCTTTTAAAATGGGGAAGTCGTTGATTTGGGATGCGAACTGTGCGGATATATTTTCGGCCGGTAATTTGATAAGGTCCGCGGTTGAGCCGGTGTCCGACGCCCGTGACTCAGAGATAAAAAATAAAAAATAAAAAAAGTAGTTAAATATTCTCTTGCTGATAGATTTTTTTTTTACTCCTGTGACAGTGGAGACTTCAGGGGTTATTGGCCCTCGTTCGATGGTGTTCTTTCGGAGGATTGGCGCTATTGCGTCTTGATTAAGGGCGAAACGGAGTGGCTCTTGCAGCGTGTCTCACTGGCGATGGTTCGAGGTAAAGCTTTCTCCATCATTGCGGCTGGCAGAGGATAGCAACAAAAAAAAACATTTTGTTTATTATTCGCTTCCTTTTCGTCATCTTTTTCGTCTTCTTCGTTACTTTTATTCTTTGTTTCTTTCCTTTTTTCCCTTTTCTTTCCCTTTTCTCTTTTTCTATACATCATATTCTTTTCTTTCTTTCTTTTCTTTTATTTTCATTTCTTTTCATTTTCGTTTTTATTCTATTTTCACTACATCTTTCAATCTTTTAGTTTCATTTTGTCTGTTATTATTTCCGCTTCTTTTCTACATCTTTCATTTCTTTTAGTTTAATGGCTTAAAATTTCTTTCCTTTTTTTCTCTATCTTTTTTCTTTTAGTTTCATTCATTTTATTTAATTTCCTTCTTTTTCTCTATATTTCCTGGCTTTTAACTTAATTCCTTTTTACTTTTATTTTCTTCCCTTTCGCTATATCTTTTTCTTTTAGTTTCATCTTTTTGTATATTTATCTTTTTGTTTCATTTATTTTATTTTAATTTCCTTCATTTTCTGTATCTTTTTTTGTTTTAGTTTTATCCATTATACTTCTATTCCTTCTCTTTATTTCCATTCCTTATTTCCTTCTTTTTTCCGATATTTTTCTTTTCGTTTTGTTTAGTTCCTTTTACATTTAGTTCCTTCTTTTTTCTGTTTTTATTTCTTTCATTTATATATTTTTTCTTTTCTCTTCATTCATTTTAAATTTTCCTTCTTTTTTTTTAAATATTTTTTTTAGTTTCGTTCCTTTTCTTTTATTTCCTTCTTTTTTCTCTATATTTCTTTGATTTTCATTCTTTTTTCCTTTTATTTCCTTCTTTTTTTCTATACGTTTCTCTACTTTTAGTTTCATTCCTTTTGTTTTTTGTTTCCTTCTTTTACTAATTATTTCCTTCTGTTTTCCTTACCTTTTTTTCTTTTAATTTAATCAATTTTATTTTTATTTATTTCTTTTGTCTATATCTTTCTATTAGTTTCATTCCTTTTAAATTTATTTCCTTCTTTTTTCGATTTTTTCCTTTACGATTAGTTTCATTCTTTTTTTATTTTTACTGTCTTCCATTTTTCATGATTTTTTTTTCTTTTAGTTTCATTCCTTTTATTTTTATTTCATTCTTTTTTCTGTATATTTGTTTACGTTGAGTTTCGATACTTTTATAATTATTTTCTTCTTTTTTCGATATTTTCCTTCAGTTTTTCTTTTCTTCCTTTTATTCTTATTTCTTCCTTTTCTCAACATCTTTCCAGTGTTCCAGTTTCATTCTTTTTGTATTTAATTTCCTTCTTTCGACCTATATTTTCCCTTTTTGTAATTTCATTCATTTTTTTCTAGCCTCATGTAAGTTATTTTTTTTATTTTATTTTCATTCCTATTATTTTTCTTGCTTTCCTCTCTTCCTTCATTCATTCCTTTCTTCATTCATTCATTCATTCATTCCTTCCTTTCTTCATTCATTCATTCATTCATTCCTTTCTTCTTGCCTTCTATTGATTTCTTTTTTATCTTTTCTTTCTTTTTTCTAATATTCTCCAACGTTTTCTGTTTTCATTGTTTTATTTTTTTTCACGATATTTTCTACTGTTCTCTTTCCCCCCTCTCTCTCTTCCTCTCTCTCTCTCTCTCTCTCTCTCTCATTGCCTCTCTATCTCTTTCCCTATCTTTCTGTCTATCATCCACTCCCTCTACTTTTTTATTTGCCATTTCTTTCTTTCTTTATCTTTTTTCTTTTCATTTTTTTCTTTTTCATTTCGTCATAACATATTTGGACTAATGTGTCTCCTTTTATTTTTCTTGACTCTAATGACCTCGAAAAAATAAACAAAATTAATTGACAAAAATAACACCAGTGCAATAAAATATTAAACCGATTAGGAAAACTTTTCTCCCTGGGAAGATGTCTCGGTACTTATTTAACCTGGCGAGACAAGACGTGGGCGAAGTAGACACCGACTCCATTACCTAGTGGTCCTATCGACCTGTTGGTCAAGATTGGGGGCAGGTGGTCGTTGCGTATTTGCTTATGACTCATACCTAATTAAAATCTTCGACTAGAACAATTGGTTTACTGGGTTGAAGGGTGTACGACATGGGAAAATATTGGATAAAAAAAAGAAGCTAAAATGAAACAATAGTGGACAAAAATATCCAAACACTCTGAAGCTCAGGAAAATTTCTAAATTTGGGTTCAGGGTCATATTGCCCCGTTTAATATTGATAAACATTTATCTAACTTACTCTTTTATATTAAACGTTATTTTAGTGGATGCCCATAAGAAGACGTTCCGTTTTTTTTGTTTTTTTTGTTTTTTTTTTTAATCTTATTACAGCGTGATATGCACTTTCTGGCATGTATTTCTTCACTAAGATTTTTCGAATATTTAGGTCGGTCGATGAAAATAAATAAATATACTGTTTAATAAATAAACAGTGCATCTACTCAAACATGGGTATCTATTAAAATATATATATATCTCCCGGATTAATAAATAAAAATCCATTACATCTTTAGAAATTGCTTTATTTACAATTTGTTTTTCGCTTTTATTTTATTATTATTTGTAAACTGCATCTGTTGTTTATTCATCCGCTTTTGCTTGTAAGAAACCCACAAACACAAAAATACGTGGAGTTTCAGGGAAAGAAAGTTGATTTTTAGTGGCCTGGGACGGTTCAAAAATAATATTCCTATTTATTTCAATGGGAAAAATTGATTTGAGATGCGAGTTTTTTTCAGTTACTAGCTCGGGTCTTAGAACGAATTATTAAACTCGTATCTCAAATCAATTTCCCCTAATTTTTTACTGTATAGCGTTAAATAAATCAATTCTAACGTAACTCAATTGACTAGACTCTTAATCATTGGAAATTAAAAATGTCCTCTGTTGAGATTTACTAAATTAAGATTAATTTGAAATAGGAAGTGTTATGTAAATATAGAAATCTCGTTGACGCGGATGCCATGAACAAGATAAATTAGATAGCACTTTAGCAAAAACGGATGTGTCTACACGAATGCATATACAGGGACAGACGTTCTGTAAAATTCTGCGCATGCTTTAGTTACGCAAAAAGCAACGTCAGCCATTTTTTTTTTTTTAATTTTTTTCTACCGTTTCTTTTCACGAATACTTAGTTAATATTCTATTATTTTCGTCCATTTTGTTTTTTGCTTCGTTCTCTTATGTTCTTGTCACAGCTCAAACGGTTGGCTACTTAACGTCATTAGCTTTAGAAAATATCTGCATAATAAATAAGAGCTTGAAGTATGTAGACATCGCTTGATAATCCCGGGACTATCGTCTGCTAATTTTTTTTTTTTGTTTTTTTTTTGTTTTTAGGTGCTTATATTTTTTTTTCTCCGGCTTTCAGCTCTCCAGTGTAGATTTTGTGCAGAATAATGATTCCTTTCCCCCTTTTAAGCATTATATTTCTCTTCCTATCATCATTCTTCTGATCGCAAATGAAACGTTTAAACGCACGCGTACACACACACACACACACACACACACACACACACACACACACACACACATATATATATATATATATATATATATATATATATATATATATATATATATATATATATGTCAGAGCTGAGTTCCAATTCCCGCTGGGTTCGGCCTATTTTACTTACGCGCAAGTACCCTCATGAAAGGTACGAATCTATCTCTTCCCACCCCCCAGCTATGTATTAATTAGTAACACTTGTATTTACAAGAACAATTTTATATTTAAAAGATTCTAAAAACTACTACAGGCAAACCTCTCATCAACGGACTAATAGGGGGATGGGGGGTCCGTTATAGCTGATTGAGGAAGGGATTATTTTTGAGTTATAAAACCACTATAGTAACTACCAATAGTTATGATCATAATGTAAATACTATAAACATGTCTTTATGGCCTAAATAAATATATACTTAATATAAATATATTAATCAAAATAACAAAAAATATATATATTTCTCATAGGTACTTTCTCACGCACATGTTTCGTACTTTATATATATATATATATACAACACAGCTGTCTTTGTTTACAATTGAAAGGCCAGCCATCTGAAGGCAAAACATCGGCTGAACTCCGCTCGTGTCTCAAGGCATTACTGTTCCATGGACGGTACCTGTGGGCAAAGAAGAAGTTCTAAAGAAACCAAATAGATACTTTTATATATAATCATATAGAGAAGTTGACACTGGTAGGATATACGGAAGGCCAGAACAGCTAGTTGAAAACTGTGTAGCCTACCAAACGAGCGACTGGGAAATATAATATGGCGGCAAATATTAATTAGAGCAACAAAAAATAGGAAATTATGGAGAACTATAATCACCCACGTAATGAAGAGACAAAACGTAACAAATAAAAACGCGTGAAAAATAAATAAATAAAAATAGATAAAAATGTTTTAAAAAATAATTTAACATTTAAATTTTGAAATAGTGATGCATCATTATAATTATACTTTTGAAAATATATTTAAATATTTTAAAAAATATTAAATTATAAGATTTAAGTTAAATTAAATACTTGAAATATGAAAATAAATAAATATTTCTAAAGTATCTTAATATTTAAATTTTGAAAAAGTGGCTCGTCATTATAATCGTTTTTTGAAAAATATTTAAATATATGTTTAGATAGAGGGTTTAAATTAAATTTTATATTTAAATATTTTAATTGTTAATTATGTTTTTTTTTAATTTAAAAAATTTAAAATAATTTAACATTTACATTCTGAAAGTGTGATTCGTAATTATAATTATATTTTTTAAAAGTATTTTTAATATTTGAAAAGTATTATAATATAGGATTTGAATATGGAAATATTAAATATATTTTTAAAATATAAATATTTCTTAAAATAATTTAACATTTAAATTTTTAAAGAGCGATTCGTCGTTATAATTATTTTTAAAAGAAAAACTTAAAATTGTTTCATAGTTGACAAAATTATTTTATCTCCAAATGAATTGTTTGCCGTAAGTTTCGTGTTGGGGGTTTTAATGTTATATATAATTATTATAGAACAAAAAATTACGATGAATTAATAAAGAGATATCAACATTATCATCATTATCTTCATATTAATTTTATCCAGTCAGTGCATTTTGCGCCGCGGCTGGGTCCACCATTCCCCTTTGTTTTAATTATCGTCCATAGTGACATTCAAGGCAAAATAACGTAATAATTTGACGGTTCCATTTGCATAGGAGATGATGAGGTTACCCCGTCTCACATGTCTGGGGTGGATTTGTTTTTGATTTTACCTTCTAACCTTTGCTTAAAGAGACAGGACCTAACAAGCGACAGCTGGTTTAAATTCCAAATTTCCTTCTCCTAGACTGGTTGTCACCCAAGGCTATAGAATCCAGTCTATCTTTCTATTTTACTCATAGCTGGGGAGAACTAAATTCATAACTTTCCCAAGGGCATTAGCACATAAGTGAATGCAATGAAATCGACTGGAGTTCGAACTCGACTATCCGATTTCTCAGTCCGAGCCGCTAACCACCATACCTCCTAATAAACATATAGGTATACACAAAAGACAAAAAGTGTGGCATTATAGTGACAAATGTCTCATCCTAACTAACCATAAAAACTGGACTAAACATACAGCACAAAAGATACTGCAGTAGATTACCAACCCAAAAAGATGAGCTCCATGGAAAATTGTTTGATTTGTTTTTTATGGCTTTTCAAGCCTATTTAAAGCCAGAAAACATTTTTAGATTGTACTAGCAGCATGGCCCGGCGGTGCCCGTGTTTGATTCAAAAATCGTACGACTCATACAGCAATCGCTATCACTTGACTTAAAATATTTTTGCCCTTCCTTGCCTTTAAAGGAGTGCCCTTTGCCGTGCTGATGTTGCTACATGCCTTACTTCTTGCCTATCTCACACTGTGAATTTTTTTTAAGCTCTATACTAAACATTAAATCTGTTACGAAAAAGAACTAAACAAAATGAACACAAAACGATCAGCTTTAAAAAAGGACTCGTAACTGGAAAAACCGAATGAAAAAAGAATGTTAACAACAAATACTTTTTTTACACCCAACCCAGTTCTGCGGAACCAGAATCAACGTTGAGTTTAAGCAAGCGAATGAGCCAATTGGAGTAAAGTGCTATGCAGATTTAAATTTTTCCCCACTTGGGACGAATGCAGCATCATTTTTTTGCATGCTAGCATGCATTCGTGTTCGTGTCAGTCTGTTGGCTCTCACGCTGGCCAATAGAATCTTCCTGCCTATTCATGGCAGCCAGCTATTGGCTCTCACTCTGGCCAGTACAAAATGGCCGCAAACTACATGAAAACTGCCGTAGAAGCATGAAAAAAAATCGATTATTTCCACTATCGATGGGAGTTGGGAAATGCAAAGTCGGTCTTGGCCTTCCCTTTAACTTAACATGTGCATGTAAATTTTGGTGCAAATCCGTCGAAAATTGCGGCCGTGCATTCGTTACACACACACACACACACACACACACACACACACACACACACACACATCCCACCTTTTATAGATAGAGATAATATTTAACCCATTACTGCAGGGGAGAAGAAGTGGAGTCATACCTTTCTCAAAGGTACTTACATGTAAATGAATATAACGATGAAAGCGCGGTAGAGTAATGAGCAACAGTTCGAATTGAGAAATCGGATCCATTACATTAACTTACGCACTAATAACCTTGGAAAAAGTATGAATCCTTTTCTTCCCCCGGCTAAAATATCAGAACAGACTGGATTCTATAGACTT